GGGGCAATATTTTTGCTCAATTTTTGATTTTTATGTTTCTTGGTTGCAAATGGGAAGAATAAAATGAGCCCGAATATTACAGTGGCGAAGTCAGTAATTCTGCTAAGGTGTGTATAAAAAGAAATATTTGACCTCTATACGCAGTATAATTTTCCGGCGAAGGGTGTTCAACTGACCACCCTTCGGCGTACAAATAGCTTCGGCTTGCAAATATAGTGGAATGGATGTAGCGGACGCCAAACAGTTTAGGATTGAGGCTAAGTTTAGTAATTGATTGATAGGTGCAAATTGCCAACGATGTGTGTGGAGTTTTGAAGTAATAAAATTTTATTTTGATTGCGAAATTGTGAATTTGCGAATGTTTTGCTATGTTAAAGATGGTGCTTGTTCACTACTACGAGGGTATTTTCATAGAAGCTTGTCCTTTGGACTTTCTTTGGTTGGTAGCTTGTTCGTGGTGGATAGGATTTTAGTCTTTTACTAGAGTTGAAGATGGAAGCTAGTGGTTGCGGAGGTGGTTTTTAATTAGGTGGTGATCTTGACCGGGAAGGGGTTCAAGTGACTGTGGTAGGTGCTGGATGAGCTGGTGAAAGAGCAGCTAATTACTTGCAAGATATTTGCCTTAAATGACACATTAAGATCATTTTTGCTATTTTCTTTAACTCTCGACAAATCAATCTACCTTCCAAGAAGAAACTCACCTGAAAATCATAAGAAAGTCAATAGCCTCTTCTCCTTTACATAAATAGCTCTATACCTTATTCTCAAAAAAATAAAAATAAATAGCTCTATACCAATATTATGATTTCATATCCTCTCTCTTAAATAGCTGTGCCCTATGTTCAAATCAGAAGCACCGGAATACTATATCAAAAAGAAAATCAGAAGCAGTGGAATAAACACGTGGGATTGTGAGTAAGAGAATTTGAGGGTATTAGAAGCATGAGTAATTCATACCTCTAACCAAAGCATCTTTTTGGTTTTGGTTTTGATTACAAGTTGAAGATTGCCTAAAACTATATATCATTTGAAATGTAGTGGGTTGTAAATTGGGGTTGGAGCGGTTCTATAGGAAATGCGAATACCACCATATGCTGCTTTTTTCTTTATTTATTGAACATGATTGAAGAATATAAAAGGCTCGATTCTTTGGATATTGCATCTAAAAGATTGATACATTCTTAGTGGTAGAAGCTTGAAATTCCTATATGATATTGTCTGCAATCTCGTATTTGGTAAATTGAAAATTTTGTCCATTGGTGGTGGTCTTGCAATGACCCCAACTTGCTTAGGATTGAGGCGTAGTAGTAATTGTGATGATGGTGAATGATGATGTGGTGGTTTCGCAGTGCTTATTGTTAATTCCTGACAGGTCACAGAAATGTAAATGTGTTTAGCTTTACCCCTTTCAGAACGCTGTGTGTTATCTCGGCTGCTGCCTGCTGCTATATTAGTCGTATCCAATTATTAACAGGATATCTAGTGTTTGACACTTCTGGCAATACTCAATCTAATACTAACTATTGTCATAGGCTTACGTCTCAATTGTTGTTATTTAAAAATTGCAGGATATTTCATATAGCTCGTCACACATGGCTGCATTCAAGGCATTTTTGAACAGCCCTGTTGGTCCTAAGACAACTCACTTTTGGGGTCCTGTAGCCAACTGGGGATTTGTCATTGCGGTATGCCTATCCACTACAAAATTTAAATTCTGCTATTGTCTACTGAGTTGTCATTTCGGTATGCCTTTCTACTGAGTTGCATTGATGTACTTTGCAGGGACTGGTCGACACACAGAAACCACCAGAGATGATATCAGGCAACATGACCTCAGGTAGAAAATTTGTACTTAATTGAACGTCGACTTGAAATGATATAGGCCCTCATCCTTCTCTTCCTTCTGGTGTTGCAGCAATGTGTGTGTATTCTGCATTGTTCATGAGATTTGCATGGATGGTACAGCCTCGGAATTATCTTCTTCTGGCATGCCATGCCTCGAATGAATCGGTGCAACTCTATCAACTATCACGTTGGGCAAAAAGTCAAGGGTAAGTGATCAATTGCTCTTAAAAGAGTGGAACATTCTGTTACCTTCTGATTTCATTTTGCCTCTGCGCATGATATAGACTCACACTTCCCTCAACAGTATTCCTAAAAGATAATACAGTCAATGGAGGGTAAATGGTTGATAAAGATTTATGCTTTAGGTAACCCTCTCACTGTCCGGTCTTTATTCTCCAGTACTTCCACCACTGAAAGTGTTCCATAGTCCATAGTCCATAGCCAGACGGAGCTGGAGGGCTGAGAATTATTTCCCTAATTTGGTTAAAAAAATTAAAAGAGGAGGTTGAGGAAAAGTGGAGGGAGGCTGGGAATTCTTACCCCAAAAGTTTTCATCCACACATCTGATTTTTTGCCCATGAGCACTTGCACCGTCAGGAATCACAGTTCTCGACAACATGCTCAAAGTTCTAGTTTGCTGTCAAAAATACCGACAATTTTATATAGGAGATACCCTATTGGCTGAGAAACATGTTTACGTCCATGCTTTTTGAGGAGTGAAAGATTTATATGTGGCTAGTGGAACTAGGGGGGTATTCTAATGATGTGGGATAGCAAGATTTAGAAAAGGGAAGTGGTTACTAATGGATCCTACTCTATAACATGTAGATTTGAATCTCAAACTCAAGATTACATTTGGCATTTCACTGGGGTTTATGCTCCAAATTGCAACAAAGAGAGACAAAAAGTTTGGTGGGAAATTGGAGCTGTGAGGGGTCTTTTCACTGGTCCTTGGGTGGTAGGAGGTGATTTTAACATAGTTAGATTCCTTTCTGAAAAAAGGAATTGCACAAGAAACACCAGAGCGATGACAAATTTCTCTGATTTTATTGAAGACATGGAAGTAGTGGATCTTCAACTAATAGGGGGAGTTTATACATGGACTTGTGGGGACAATCACGAGATCTCATCCAGAATTGATAGGTTCCTTGTATCTGCAGAATGGAATGATTGTTTTACGAACATCAAACAAGAAATTTTACCCAAAATTTGCTCTGACCACACACCACTAGTGTTACAATGTGGTAAATGGGAACAGAAGAAATCATATTTCAAGTTTGAGAATTGGTGGTTAGAGACCGAAGGCTTCACTGATAGAGTTAGAAACTGGTGGACTTCTTTTATTTTTGAAGGCAGACCCGACTACATTCTTGCATGTAAGCTCAAAGCACTCAAAGGGAGATTGAAAGAATGGAGTCAAAGCAATAATGGCAATGTGGAGATAAGGAAAAACTTAATACTGCATCAAATATCCGAATTGGATGCAATCCAACAACTAAGAGGTCTGAATGAAGAGCAAAAGATCAAAAGGGCAAATCTTTTCATGGAATTTGAAGAAAATGCTAAAAGGGAAGAAATAGCGTGGAGACAAATATCCAGGACTCTATGGCTCAAGCAGGGTGACAGGAATACAAAATTTTTCCAAAGAATGGCCAACGCTCATAGAAGGAATAACAACATTGATCAGTTGTTGGTGGAAGGGGAGACTATTGAAGAACCAGAAGCTATCAAAAGGGAGATAACAAATTTCTACACCAAGCTTTACTCTGAAACTGAAAACTGGAGACCCACTTGCAGTATGCATAATTGTTGTACTATCACTGAAGAAGAACAACAAGCATTGCAAAGTCCCTTTGATGAGAAAGAGATCTTTGTGGGTTTTTTTATCAAGTGTTGGGAGGTAGTTAAGTCAGATGTTGTGGCTACTATCCAGAATTTTCACTCTCAGGAGATGTTTGAAAAAATCTTCAATGCCACATATGTAGCTTTGATTCCTAAAAAGAATGGTGCCAAGGAATTAAGGGACTTTAGACCTATTAGTTTAATCGGCAGCATCTATAAGATGATCTCCAAAATTCTCACTAAAAAACTTAAAAAGGTGATGCTCAAACTAGTTGACTCTCATCAAATGGCATTCCTCAGAAGCAGACAAATTACAAATGCCGTTTTGATAGCTAATGAATGCTTGGATTCTAGGTTAAAGGAGAAAAAACTTGGCATAATGTGTAAGTTAGATATTGAAAAGGCTTATGATCATGTAAATTGGGAATTTCTACTAGGGATCTTACAGAAAATGGGGTTCGGAAGGAAATGGATCAATTGGATGAAGTTCTGTATTAGCACTGTCAGGTTCTCAATCTTGATAAATGGATCTCCTGAAGGATTTTTCCCCTCCCAAAGAGGATTGAGACAAGGTAACCCTTTGTCTCCTTTTCTTTTTATACTAGCTATGGAAGGATTGAACAACATGCTGAAGACTGCTCATGGGAATGGCTGGATTAATGGTTTCAATGTGGCTAATATTCAAACAAACAGGCTGGAAATTACTCACCTTCAGTATGATGATACCTTGATTTTTTGTGATGCAGAGGAGAGTCAATTAAGACATTTAAGGGTTATCCTGGTACTGTTTGAAGCTATATCTGGACTCCACATTAATTGGAGGAAAAGCCAAATATTTTCAGTAAATGAGGTACCTAGGATACAACTGTTGGTGGATATTTTGGGTGGGGAAGTTGGAACTACTCCAACCATTTACCTAGGTATGCCTCTGGGAGCAAAAAGCAAGTCCAAAGACATTTGGAATGATGTTTTGGAAAGGTGTGAGAAAAAGCTTGCAAGATGGAAATTCAATTATCTGTCTCTGGGAGGTAGATTGGTGCTCATCAATTCTGTTCTGGATGCACTTCCTACCTATATGATGTCTTTATTCCCCTTACCAGCAAGTGTAGAGAAGAGATTGGAAGTTTTGAGAAAAAAATTTCTGTGGCAAGGAAACAAAGATAAAAAAGGGATCCATTTAGTTAAATGGAAGACCCTGACTATCAGTAAACAAGGAGGAGGACTGGGAGTTAGGAATTTAAGAAGGCAAAACAAAAGTCTATTGATGAAGTGGCTATGGAGGTTTTCAAAGGAGGAGCAAGCACTATGGAGCAAGGTGATTAGGGAAAAATATGAAAAGGAAGGATTTTGGATGACTAAAGGAGTTCATACTCCTTATGGAGTCGGTCTCTGGAGATCCATAAGGAATTTGTGGCCAAATCTGAAAGATAAGCTGAGTCTTATTGTGAAAGATGGAAAGAAAGCATTGTTTTGGGAGGACAATTGGTTGGGAATTGGAAGTCTAAAACAACTATATCCTGACATCTATACTTTGAATCAACAGCATGGGGTTACAATGAAGGAACTATGGTCTACACATGGTTGGAATCTGACATTCAGAAGATTCCTACAGGATTGAGAGGTGCCTAGAATGATTGAGTTTTATAGAACACTAGAACAATGTAGTGGACCACGGGAGGGTGAAGATATACTCAGATGGCAAAAACATAGGATGTATTCAGTCAGCTCAGCATACAAAGATTTGAACCGGGAAGGATCTCAACTCAGTTTATGGCCTTGGAAACACATATGGAAAATAAAAGTACCTTATAAAGTGGCATGTTTCACCTGATTGGTAATTAGGGAAGCTGTCCTCACTCAGGATAATCTAAGGAAGAGGGGGACAATTTGGAAAGAGAGGAATCTGGGATGCTTTGAAGATACAACCAACTCTCTACAAAAGATTAAAAGATGAAGTGTATTCTTCTTTTTTGTTTTTGGTGTAAATCAGAATATGTAGAGGATCCTGATTCAATCCTAGATGTTTTGAGTTCCTTGTAAGAAGAACAAGGACTATATTTTTGCTTTTCCATATTGTAATTGCCTATTTTGGCTTCTAACACAAAATTTGTGCTGAATTTTTTTTTAAATAGACTGGATATTGTACCTTCTCAAAAAAAATAAAATATAAAGAACTTCTAGTACCTTTTTTAGATTTATTACTATTTTTATTTTATATAATACTGGCCCGAGATGAGTATAAATGGGAGTAACATGGTCAATGAAGATTCATATAGCCGATCATCCCAATTAGTTTGGCATTGAGGCGTTGTAGAAGTATTATTAGTTGGCAGATGTGGAAAACTAAATTGATACTTAGTCTGCTTCTTTGAGCTAGCATAGCAACTTACTCCATAACACGCAATCCCCTCCCTCTTTCTCTCATCTGGGAGGGAAGGGAATCAGTGGTTCTGTTTGGGTAGTTGTTATAGCCTTATCTATGATCCTGAAACTACTTAAATATTTGTGCCAACCTAGAGAATTTGAGGACTTTGTTGTGGTTTTGAAGCTTGTGTTTGCAATTACAATCAAATAAAATTTTGCATCATATGCTTTTTGTTTGGACAGGAAGTTGTGGAGATCTAGCATTAGGGTCGTAGGTTAGGAGGTAGTTATGCATATCTTTACGGCGCGCCAGTGAGGCTAGTCTGTTAGAATTTTGTCTTAGACTGCTAGTGGTTAATGTTGAACTCACATTACTCTTTCGTTCCTCTTAGTGTCGGCTTTATCTACTGGTTATTGTTTTGCTTTTTATCTATGTTCTTGTGATGCTGTTATTTCTTTCTAAGGTTTTTATTGATGATACTCATATATTGTCTCTTTTCGTCTTCTTGAGCCGAGGGTCTATCGGAAACAGCCTCTCTACCCCTCGGGGTTGGGGTAAAGTCTGCGTACACACTACCCTCCCAAGACCCCACTAGTGAGATTTCACTGGGTTGTTGTATGCTTTTCATCTGATACTTTTAGTCTCTCTTTTCCCTGCAGATATTTGCAGCAGAATGCAGCCAAAGCGGAGTGATTTTGTGTTCTCTCTCGTTTATTTTTGGACAATTTTCGCTTGTCATTTTTGAGTGCTTTCATCAATTGTTGCAGAAAAAATTGCCTTTGATAATCCAAGAGCTGAACTAGCAGCCTATTTCCAAGTAAATCTTAGTACTATCAGTACTGGGACTTTTGGGATTCATTATCATGTCTATAAGAATTGCCACAATAATACAGCATATTTTTAATGCACGCCATGTTATTAAACTTGCACTTTGAACAGCTTTTGTTGGCTCAACTAATGATTTTTATAGTTGGTCAAGTACTATCCGTTGTTCCAAAATTTACGATAATAGTGACACTAAATTCAAGCTAGGTTAAATCATATCAAGATCGGTGTCTATAAAGAAGTACTAGGTGAGATACGATGAGAAATCATATTTGTATAGTAGGAATAACTTAGGTGAGAACCATGAGGTTTCAAGTTCAAAATCTAGCGGAGGCAAAAAATATTAGGTGATTTTTTCTCATTGATCCAAGCCTTGGTGGATAGAGTTATCCGATATTTGTTGCTGGTGGCAGGTATCCTATGGAATTAGTCGAGTTCAAGCTTGCCTAGACACCGCGGTAAATAAAATAAAATAGAAATAACTTAGTTACAAATATTACTTAATTGATCATATGATAACAATTATATAATTTAAACTCATGTTATTGCATTTATCTTATAGCTTGATTGTTCTTAAAAAGTATTGTACTACGTATGGTACACCTCTTCGAAGTGAAACTTTATGGACGAAAATAAGGATTTTAACTTCGAAGGTTCTAACTTAAATCCATTCCAAGTTCTAGTCAAAATCGGAATATAATATGCCTTTTGTTACACCACCTACATATATATATATATATATATATAACAGACGTTGCCTTCTTTTTTCCCCTTCCCTTGAAAACCTGTATTAGTATTACAGCCTTGTTCCTTCGCAGAACTACCACACGGCCTCCTTGCTCTGATTGCAAAGCGTGTTAAAGTGATTGAAGATTTCATTGCTTTTGGTGCTGTTTCTGCCTCTTGGCGAACTGTTGTTACAAAGAAAAACTTTGATGTGTTTCGCCCCAAGTTCCGCTGCTAATGCTGGCTGATAAAGACAATGATTATCGAAAATTTTACTCTCTTTCCAAGAAGAAAGTTTTGCGTATATTTCTCCCCGAAGCTAGAGGGCGACAGTGTTTTATATCAGAGGGATGGATCTGTACCGCGTCATACACCGGAGAGGTAAACTTGTTGCATCCTTTTTCCCGTACCCTAATCCAACTTCCTCCGCAACAGGCCTTATTGGCTTTTGATTGCGACGATACAGATGGAGGATATCCATGCATTGACCAAATTGTGTTATCTGCTAGCCCTTCTCTTACATCAGATTATATATTAGTGGTTTCTTTTTATGGATATAAAAATTGTTTGGGTTTTTGGCGACCTGGAGATCTCAACTGGACTAAATATTAAAATCGACAGATCTAATGTAGTAGGTGGAGTTATCAGTCTCAAATACTAACTATAAGGGTAAATTTTATGCTGTGTATTACTCTGGCCAAGTCTGGGTTTATGATGTACTAATTGGAGAGTCACGTCATCTTGTTTGACTTGAGGATGATATGTTTAAACGGCCATTAGTTCAGTTCTACCTAGTAGAAGTATTAGGTGCACTATTATTGGTTAGCAGATTTGCCTCAGAGGTTCCAAATAGTGGTGCTGAAACCTTGAAATTTAAAGTATTTGAATTAGATGTAATCAAAGGTGAATTGAAGGAGATTAATACCTTGGGAGAATCATCATCAATTTTCTTGGGCCGTAATAGAGCAAGTTCTATTGACTCTTCTAAGTTTATCGGAGTCAAGCCGAATCACATATATTTTACTGATGATTGGACTGATTTCTATAGTACATTGGACGGAGGGGGCGGAAGAGATATGCGGGCTTACGATCTTGAAAGCGGAAAAATTAAATCTTTTTATCCTGGATTCTCCCTAAGTCGTATTTGCCCGCCAACTTGGGTTGCACCATCATTCTAATAATGTGATTGATATTTTTTTTATTGGCGCTTTTCAATGTGGTAATTTTCTTATTTTCCTGAGTTATTAGTTTGAAGCTAAGTTGATCTATTTATTTTTCTTCATTGTAATCTTGTAGATGTATGAATGGTATCTTACTTAATTAGTTATAATTGTACTCTCTAAATGATTTTGAGGCTTATAATACACCATTTGCAAACAAAAACCCTGTAATTTGATTCCCCTCCTACATTCTAATTTCAGTGTTCTATTTTCACTATGAAAAGAAATCACAAGAAATTTGATTTGAAAAATAATACTCAAAATTTAGATGGATAAGAACATTGGAAAGAGTACGTAAACACACTTACTCTGTTTTCTCTATAGAAAATTTCTGGATTGCTGGCATAACATGAAGTAATCATCCTTTATAGATTGGATTGTCGAGCTCTGTTAATGGCCTAATGCCCTGGAGGAAAACAATAGAGAGGATGTAAGCAAATTTTGATAGCAGATCCTGCAATGGCCTTCACTGGTGGCAAAAGTACTCATAGAAAAACCGTAGTCTCTTTATTTGTGTATTTCACCAACACCAGCAACTATATTCAATCCTACAAAAAGAACACATGCTCGCTTATTTCAAATGAATTGGTGATTAATGGTCAATAGGTTAGAAAGGGGTTATATTTTAATTTTTAATATTCTAACTACTTCTACTTTGAAACCAATTTTTAATTTGATCACATGACTTGTGAAATTCAGTTTCGACTCAAACGGAATCAACTCAGAGACTATATTTCTTTATTTGTTCTAGCTCCATCTTGAGAACCGTGTTCACAATAGTATAAAACAGATGTAAACAACTTCCAAGTCGAAATTATGAACGACTTGACTTGATTATAAAAGTTTTACTGCCATACAGAATAAGTCTCCACTATGAAAATCGAAACTTCACAAGTCTATAAGATGCAGAAGGCAACAGATCCAAACTCAAAGCTTCACCATCAAGAAATAAGTATTATATTACAAATATAGTCAGGCCAAAATTACAATAAACTGCCTTGCTGTTGCATTTTAGAGAAAAAAAAGCATGTAAATCATTTTTTCAAGCTCTAATGTTGGAAAAAAGTAAGCTGAAAGGTAACCAAAATAGTTGACAGAATATAAATTCATTACTAACCTTTCAATAATTTTGTTCACAAAGCCCTTCTCTATTCTCATTGAGTTCTTCTTAATACCATTGACTGCTAAAAAATGGACACAAAATAGTCAATAAATACATGTATGTGCAAAATCAGTTAACAAAAGCGAGAAAGGCTCAAGAACTCTACAATAGCTTTCAATAAATTTGGGTTTCTTAACTGTGGGGGTCAGAGAATGTCCATTGAGGCAATTTGGACAGGAACAGCAAATTTGACACCAATATTAAAAAGAGAGCGTGCATTGCATAATCAATTAATGAAAAGAGCCAAAGACACATGTAATTCCAGAATAGCCATTAGAAGTTTATGTACCTTCTAGAGTCAGCGATGACACGACAAATATAGCGTATAGAATTTGAAGATAAAGACGCAAATCCTCAAAAAAATACTGCTTACATGTTCGTCATGTCACACCCCTTTTTTCACCCTAACCCTCTTTAAAATAAATAATAAAGTGGTTTTTGAAGATCAAAAGGGTTTTTAAATTGAAAGTGACAAAAATTGTGTTTTAAAGGACTTTGAGAGTAGCCACTTGACATTTGGTTTCGGTGTGCCAAGTCACCGTTTTAACAAAAAATAATTTTTCCTTTTAAAATACGTTTTGACTCTTAAACATAGTCTGCAACAGAAATTCCAAGAAAGGAGGTTCATTCGACTCGGGGAGAAGGTGTTAGGCGTTCCCGAGTCCCGTACCTAGTACGGTTGCATACTTGATCTAATTGGCTTTTAGCAATACTCTAATGGAGGTAAAACACACAAAAAGGAAAAAACAAACACAAAGAAGGTTCAAGGTTGTCCCCACGTGAAAAAAGAAAATAAGAGAAAAATAAAAACAAAAATTCTACGCCTCTTCAGTGTCGTCCCGTCTTTGGCCTCCAAGTACTACGGGCATTCCCCGGATAAATAATAAACTAAAGGGACAACCTCTCACCTTGAGTAAAAGAAAAGACCTAAAGTTTGCCTACTCAGGTGTGGTCGGCCTAAATATGCTACTAGCGGAATAATATAATAAAAAAATAAAAATAAAGTAGAAAAAAGGAAACTTATTTCATACTCATGTTCTTTGTTCATGTATTTAACCCAGCCCAATTCCTGATCATGCAAGTCAAGATTTAATAGCTAATCCCCACGGCCCATATCAATCAACGTTCATTCAAATAATTTCATATCCAACTAAAAGCAATCAACAGAATAAGGCATCTAGCACATAACATCCAAGCCACTTAAAGAAGATGAGAACTAAACTAAAATACTAGTAGAATAAGGAAATGTGAATTAAAACCAATAAGAAGAACCATTTAAAGACTACTGCACCACCCCCAATTTTAGCTTCTCAATTGTATCATATCTGAACCTCTGTTTTAAAAGGCGTTTCTGGGGCGAGCCCGGGGCGAGGCATACCAAAAACGCTCCGGGCGATGGTGTGGGACGAAAGTCTCAAGAGGCGTACGCCCCGCAATTTGGGGCGTACGCCCGGGCGTTCGGGGCGCGTTTTTTTAGTAAGGAGTAAGCCCCAGAGACTTTTTCAAATTAAAACAAAATTTGTTGAATTAGTCCTTCATATAATACCCAAATTCTCAAAAGTCAGTTTGGTAATTACTCAAAAGGTTTAAAAAGGAACTCAAAAGTATTAAATTTAAAAGTAAAGACCTTTTTAATTGATTTAAGCCCTAATTCATGATTTTCCCAATTTTTTATCTTGTCCGCTAGTCTGCTAATATATCCCAAAAGCAACGAATATTTTACAAATACAAAGAGAACTACATTCTTCTTCATAGCAGCAAATTCAAAGTTCAAATTG